CAGAATGACCACCTTCACAAAGCAATTTTAGATGCACACTTGCAGGCAATTGGAATAGAGGTCAATCAAAAGCCCAGGACCAGTGGATGTCTGAAGGATGTGTGATGTGACTGGAAAAAGGAGCATGCATGCTGGAAAGTGGAGAGGTAGTGAGGATGGGAGTACGGACAGGGGCAGAGTCAGTTCATGGCACAAGGAGGTGTGTGAGCAGGGGTAGTGAAGGAATGCAATATAAGGAGTTCATGCAGTGTAAAGTTAGTGAGACTACAAGTGCTAGGGTGAGTGAATCTTTAAGTGTTCCTGTGAGAAGGGATGAGTGTTAACAAACAGTGGATGAAAGTGAGAGAATGAGTAAGAATGAGAAAGGAATGGAACCTTGGATCAGGGAGAGTGAGACAGAAGGATACAGGTAAAAGAGTATACTATGTAAAAACTGTGTGTAAAGACCCAAAATATTATAGATTTTTTTTAAAGCTGATAGGTAGCAAATAGTCAGAGCCATTTATGTCACATGTTGATTTGTCTATAAGAAGCTATAGTGGTGACAAGGCCAGCAAATACAAATGCTTGCTGAGCAAAATGACAAAATAATGCAGCATATACACTCATGGTTGACTGATTAAGTGGAAGGAGAACATCATGGTAATCATGACAAAGGAAAAATCCACTGGACTGGCATAGACACAAAGGATCCATTTTCAGTAACACCTGGTAAGACAACAGTCAAATACTTAACAGATAATAGCACAAAATGAATTCTTTAATCTATACAAATGTGAAGCATTATCTCTAGCACATAACTGCATAGATGTTAAATGTAGTATGTATTAATTGTCAAGAAAGATATAGTTAATCATCAATACATGTTCCTTGCCAACTATGCTTTCTGAGAAACGAAGACCATCTCTGTGAAAGCCTTTGGTTTCACTCCCACTTGCACATACGAGTTTCAACGCCTACAGCCAAAACTTGTATAGCTGGAATTTGTCTTAGAGCCAGCATTTCAAGCAGTACCATGTGAATCCGATAAATGTTTCAAATGATAGTGTTAACACTGTACACATTGCTTCCAACTTACTTTCAATAAATAGTCATTTTCACAGATTATCTCTGTGTTACATTATTAAAAAAAAAACAAAAAAAAAACAGACAAGCAAGCATCAGGCCTATAAGAAATAAATAAAAAAAATATATGCACCTAACATGTACCTACTGGCAAACAGATGCAATAGGAATTTTATAATATCAAGTTAAATCAGAATGAATATGCTTTAACACTGGTGGAACTACAAGCAGTGTAGCCATTTATGCTGCCAGAGGGTCCACACGCCTGGAGGCACATCGGGTTTCTATCACACTCAGGGACATGGACACTTGATGGGCATCTGATCTGATCAGGGGCCTGGTCAGGTCTCGAGGCCCTTTAACAGAGCAACCCAACCACTGTCAGATTGGCAGTGCTGGGAGAAAGTAAGGTCAGATCACCTTCTCCCAGCTAATAGAGTGTATTTTAGGATGGCTATGAGGGGATGTGGGGGTAGAGCCTGGACCAAAATTAGCAACCTTAGTAAGGGGTGAGATGTGGACCACAGGGAAACATCTCTTCTGCACCCAAAAGATATGTAAGCAGATGGGGAAAAAAAACACATCACCCTATATTCTTGCCTCACAAAATGAATAATTTCATTAGTCATTATAGTAATCCCATGAGCAATTCTGATTATCCCAGTAGAAAAAGCAACAGTGAAGTTCCATTAGCAAACATCTTTTCACATTTTATTGTTTATAATAGTGAGGTTGTGATGAATTTAATCAATTCAACTGTATACCTACCTTTGTGCAAACCCTTTAATATATTTACCTGTAAGTATTTAGCACAGCTATTATTCACCTGTGTTAGTTATCATTGGTTTATTTAAATTTATTTATTAGTTTATTTAATATTTTTTCATTTGCTTTTACATGCCTTGTATACAGTAAAACATTTATTACGCATTTAATGTACTTAAACATGTATCAATATATTCTGATCTAGTCTTCTCAAACTTCGGCCACCAGATGCTACTGAACTACGACTCCCATGATTCTTTGAATTACATAGATAGCCAGGGAATCATGGGAGTTGTAGTTCAGCAACATCAGGGGGGCCGGAGTTTTAGGACCCATGTTTTATTGGTTCTACTCTTTTTCCCAGTCTGATTATGCAAGTAACTAATATTTTCCACTTAAAATATTTAGCTCACATGTATGCTAAATTTATGGATTGTTTAATAGAACAATTACACTGAATATGGATTGGTTATGAACCAACATATTTCAACACTGCTCCTCAATACACATTTTAAAATCTTTACTTGCATGTGCTGCTAGTCAGCTAATTGGTCAATTCATTTTCAAGTGGACTGCGGATGGCCTTTGTGAAATGGAGTTAAAAACATAACATTTGGGGGGGGGTGTGGTTTGCGGCCGAGCAAGCTGGACGTGTCCATGTAGAGCTCTGTTGCAGCCATGGTGCCAACTGCTAACAAAAGCTGAGATATCACTACACAATTGATGGTATCTGTGGGGGACCCATGATGGATAAGAGGGCCCAGAGGAAACAGGGGAAAAAGGCGATGGAACCGGGTACAACGGTGTTGGAGCTGTTTGTGGCCTCCCGCGCCGTGCGACTGAGCACTCAAGATGGCGGACGGGAAGGTCAGGGGACACCGCGCTCACCGTGAAGCCCGGGCAGCAGCGTAGCCACAGGTACGCCAGAGACAGATACTGGCCAGATATTGGCCAAACTGGTGGAGGTCCGTACTTACCTTGCCACCGAGGTTGTCAGGAATACAGACGAGGTGAAGGCGGAAATACAGGCCTTGGGCGCGAGGACGGCAGCATTAGAACAGCGGGTGGAGTCCACGGTCGTGGCCCACAATGCAGCTGCCGCACAGATTAACCTCCTGACGACCCGACTAACTACAGCTGAATTGGCGAATGACAATCTTGGTAATAGATCGTGGCGAAACAACATTCGCCTCCGCGGCCTACCGGAACAGAAGGGGGAGGGGTCTCTCATTGATGTCGTCTTCGGCATCCTTAGGCCGCTTCTCGTCGACATGCCGGATCATCTCTGGCATATTGAGCGGGCACAACGGGCACTCCGGGCTAAGCTGACAGATGACAGGCGACGGAGAGATGTCATCATAAAATTTTTATCCTTCCAAACAAAGGAGGCCCTGATGAAGCGGGGCAGGAATAGCCTTCATATATGAAGGGGCTGAGCTGGCCCTGTTCCAAGATTTAACCCCGGCTACACTGAGTTACTACAGCACCACTCGATCAAGTATGCTTGGGGCCACCCTTTTCGGTTGATGGTCTTTAAAGATGGCAGCACTAAGATATTGTATCCCGACGGCGACCCGGCGACGTACCTAAGGGAGCTTGGGATCCAGGTACCTGAAGGCCTGGCGGTTCCAATGGCGTCGGCGGAGGTCCTGGGGTCTCTTCCACGCGAATGGTCTGTGGCAGGTGTGTGAGGAAGGCGGCCCCTACATCGGTACCGCGGGTTCCGGTTGGTAAAGCTTTCCAGACGGGCTTCTGTTGTTTGGGCGGGTGAAGCTGGGGCCTGTCATCCCCCTTTTTTGTCCTCTCTCCCCACTTTTTTCTTCCCCCTTTTTTCATCTGGGTTTTCAGCGGGATCGCCCCGCCTCGGTGGTGTGATACTTATTTGTAATACTTCTTTAATTGGAACTCAACTGCAGAAACAATAAGTTTCACCTCCTTTTATATTGAAGTGAACAAGGTTGACTGTATCTTTAAATACACATGCAGGGAAGAAATGCAATGCTAGTTCCAACTTAATTAAGATGGAATGATTTATGAAAATTATGTTAATGAAGCTGGACAGGCTTGTAATTAGAATAAATTGATATTTGCAGGAAGAATTAGACTTAGTAGCAATCCCTTATTGACAAGAGAGAATTTTAGTGAAATTTAAATACTGATAAATTAATTAATATGAATTGGTTTCCTTGGCAAAAAGGTTTACTTAACTTAGAGGCAGTTCTGGCAATGGAAGGGTTAATTCACCCAATGGAGGAGAAATTAGGAGTCTCTATTAATAAGCTGAGCGTTAGGAGTGGAGAGTAAGGAAGTCCGTTTTTACTAGCCGAGGTCTGGGAGTGGAGAAGGTAGAAGTCCGTTTTACAAGCCGAGGTCGAGAAGTGGAGAAGGTAGAAATCTGTTTACAAGCCGAGGTCCGGAGAGGAGTGGAGCCGGTAGCATCAAGTAGAGCAGCTAATCTCAATGCAGCACCTGAGTGAATAATCCAGCCCTTTGAATCTGGCGTGGTCTTCCTAAGTATCGTGGAAGGACCGCGTCAGAGAAAGGGGCGGGGCTAAGCGCCGTGAACCCGGAAGTGGGTTCCGGCGGCAGCATGAATGATAGAGTATACCTGACAGGTGGTCAGCTCCGTGGGTAGGGATGCCGTTTGCGTGGGGCGGGTTAGGGTTTTATAGCCTCCCTTTTTTCACCGTCACCAGCCCGTGAGCCCTTCAGCCCTGTCCCCTCTTTTTACAGTTTATTAATGTTTATGAGGGCCGAAGGAGGGTAACTATATGCTTGTGATGCTCACCTTGCAATCGGAAGGCTCCCACGGATGTTCTATCAATCCCTACAGGACTGTGACAGTGTATGGGAGATAATGTATACTTAGAGTTGTTTTTTTTCTCCCCCCTCTCTCTTTTTAGGGTTGTGGAGAGTGGCGGGCGGCGATTTTTATGGGGGGGCTGTCATTACTGCAGTGTTATTTGATTCTCGTTCCCCACTTCACATGGTTCCTATTCACGGGGGATGGGGTTCTACGGTAGTTTATAGGCCAAGCAGTTTGGGGCGGATCACGGTGGGGACTGGGCTCTATGTTCTGTTTGTCCCCCCTCGGATCGGGTGGGAGGGCGGAGGTTAGTGCCTGTCACTTTGTATTACGATCCCCCATACTCCTTTCACGTTTTTTGCAGTGGGGCATGAGAGCAGTGGGGAGGGATTCCTGGGGAGCTGGAGGATTTGGGCATATTCATAGGCCATGTAATTTAGGTTCTATTAACCGTGAGTGGCCCGGGGGTGCTCCGCTTTAAGAGGTGTGGGGTTTTAGTATTGGGGAGGTCATCTCCTCCTGCATTCCTCTCCCTGCCCTCAGGGGAGCCTATTCTGTATGGGCCGGTGCATGTTGCACCTGTTTTCCTCCCCCTGCTGTCCATGTGTTGGCTCTGGTGAGGTCTTTTGAGAGGCGCGGTGTATCTTCCCTTTGGAGGAATACCCCGTTCCTCGCAGACGCGTAGGTAGAGACGGGGGAGTTTATGTCTGGATCTGTGTCTTGGATTGGGGGCCGGGGAGGGGGGTTGGGGGCTCTCCCGGGAAATGTGATTGTACACAACGTAGATACCTGCTGAATTATTATGTATCACAGTATCTCATAAATAGTGTATGTTGGCATCCTATGGGTGCTTTTCTCTGTTGGTTTATGTTCCCGCTTCTCTGGAGCTTCTTCGATGTTCCGGAGGGGCTGGAACATGTGCCCCATATAACCCTGGCTATAGGTAAGACCAGGCGTACGTTACATAGGTTCTGTTTCTTCTTCTTCTTTTTAACTATATTTTTCTTCCCTGCTTCCTATTTCCCTTCAAATCCTAACCCTTTACTATGTCCCTTGGGAGGGGGAACAGGTGAGAACAGGCGTGCCACTGAGTTCTGTCCTGGTTGTCGGGGGCCGGGCCTCCAATGTATTGATCTGGGACATTTTATGAGACCTCCATGCCAGAGCTCCTCAGTGGGCTGATGGGAGGCATAGGCTTGACTTCCTGTCGGACACAATGCCTTTAAAAGTGATGTAATTGAACATGAAGGGCTTAAACGCTCCAAGTAAACGTCGCCTTATGTTCAGGGAACTTAAACGCATGAACCCAGATATAGCCTTCCTGCAGGAGACACACATCTCTGCGTCGGCAAAATTAGCTTTGAGGGATCACACATTTAGAATAGTTCATGAGGCTAGGGCTTTAAACAAAAGGAACGGAGTTGTTGTGGCTAAACACCACAGATGCCCACTCAGAGTGGGAAAAGTGGTAGCGGACGCGGGTGGTCGCTTTATATTGGTATCAGGGAGTTTATACTCTTACTCAGTGCATTTCCTCAACATCTACGCACCAAATGACCCCCCTGTAGAATTTTGGGATGGAATAGCACAAATAGTGAACACACTGCCACACAGCATGACGATAGTGGGAGGAGAGCTGAATGCCACACCGTGTCCTGCGGTGGATAGGGGTCCAAGCGACAGGCTGCCGCGGTCTCATGGAAGATGTGATCAGGACAAAATACTACGCACTTTTATGCACCGTACGGGCCTAGTCGACATCTGGAGAGCACATCACTCAGACGACCGTGACTACACTTTCTATTCGGCACCCCACGATACTTATTCAAGGATTGACTTATTCTTGGTGAACTCCCACACGGTACCTAAGGTGTCGGGTACTGCGGTTGGTTCGATTACCTGGTCGGACCACGCTGAGATTACGATGACGTTAGATAAAATGTGTACGGCATCTCCGTGGACCTGGAAACTAAATACCTCTTTGCTTCAAGACCCAGGTGGAGACCACGCATAAAGAATTGACTACTTCACTAGTAATGCGGAGTCGAGTCCCCGGCCTGCTATGGTATGGACCGCCCATATAACTGTTATCCGGGGTATACTGATCCGCGAAGCCACCTTAAAAAAAAAAAAAATCACGGCCGATGAGATTGATGCTGCAATATCCTCGTTAAAAGGCAATAAAGCTCCGGGCCCGGGCGGCTTTGAGGGCAGCTACTATAAGATATTTCACGAGGAACTTATACCACATATGGAAAACTGGTTTAATGATCTTATGGAGGGAGGCATGCCGGATAGGGACATGTCATTAGCGGACATCGTGCTTTTACTGAAACCCGGCAAGGACGACTCGATCCCGGAAAATTTTCGCCCGTTTTTTTAAATAAACCATGATTCCAAAATCCTGGCTAAAATCCTAGCGCGCAGACTGAATTCCCTGTTATCGCGTCTGATACACCCTGATCAGGTGGGCTTCGTGCCAGGCAGGCAATTATTTGAAAATATCAGACATAACATCGACCTCATCTGGCTTCAAGCAACTAGGGGGATCCCGACTTTAATCTTGTCACTCGACGCGGAGAAGGCTTTTGATAGGGTAAAGTGGCCTTATTTATTCGAGACCCTCCGACAATTCGGTTTCCCAGAACCCTTTAAAACTACAATTAAAGCAATGTACACGGACGTTAGTGCTCGGGTCCGGATATCGGGAGCAAAGATGGTGCCTTTCAGTTTGGGAAATGGGACTAGGCAGGGCTGTCCAATGTTGCCTCTGTTGTTCGCCCTCTCTTTGGAACCCCTCTTACAAACCATAAGAAATAGCCCAGAAATCAAGGGGATTGCAATCCGGGATCAGTGCTATGTAGTGTCGGGTTTCGCTGATGACATTTTGCTGACCCTGACCGACCCGATAAAATCTATGGAGGCACTGGCGACAGTATTGGAAGCCTACAGTGCACTGGCCGGATACAAGGTGAACCTAACTAAATCAAGCGCACTTCCCATAAGCATAAATGACTCAGACCTAGCCCACATAGGAAATACTTATAGGATCCGTATAGCACAAGACCATATAAAGTACATGGAGGTTTGATTGACGGCAGACCCTGCCCACCTATTTCAGCAGAATTATGTTCCCATGAGTTGAACCTTGATAGAAGACGTGGAGAAATAGATAGATCGGTAGGATCCATTCGGTAAAAATGATCATTCTCCCCAGGATTTTGTTCCTGTTTCAGGCCCTCCCGGTCAGGCTGATCAAGTCTGATCTAGGGGCTCTCCAGCAGGCTATAGGAAAATTTATCTGGCAAAATAGGAAACATAGAGTTTCGTGCAACGTTCTTTACAGGGCAAAGACGAGTGGCGGCTCGGGTTTACCAAACCTTTATTTCTACTATTTAGCGTCCCAGCTAACTCAAATAGCACTTTGGCATTCTCCTCCGGAAGAGAGGCGGTGGGTGGACCTGGAGGCTTCCCTCATGGGACCTGACGTCCCTTAATTCTTCATGTGGGTCCCTAGGGACCACAGACCATCTATAAGAATTGAATGCCCGGTGTAGCGGAGATGCAATATTCCCCAGGTTGTCTCCGCTTATAATCCAAGTGAGGCTCAGGAACAAGTAAATAATAAATCCATAGGCAAAGTTTCCAGCAGGTAAAATAACAGCAACCTCCCCACAGCAATCCCAATAACTGGACGACACACAGTTTCAGGAGCAGAACTGACAAGCCTTTAATCACAGTCTCCTTATAAAGCATGCTCCCATGCAAGGGAGGGATTACAGTAATTATTACAGTAGCCAATCCTGTCCTGGTAACCTCCCACACATCTCCTCCCCTCAGCCAGCATCATAATCCCCTTATCCAGTACACCAATTCCCCCCGTTTCTGGATGTACCCCTAAACGTAGGGGTACCTCTTTAAATCCTACATCCCCTGGTAGCCCTGATCTGGGTGAACAACATATCCAAAAACCACCCAGATCAGACCAGGGGTTCGGGAAAAGTATGGAGGGAATAAAATGACCGACCGCACGAACTGAGATAGCCGAATTCGGTTCCATGTGAATGGGCCCTGCGGTCGGTCCTGGCATAAGGGAATAAAATACACGAAAACCTCTAGCTATAGAGGCTAGGGAGGGTTCGCCTGAATCCCCTCGTTCGGTATTCTCTATCTACCGAACGAGGGGCCGTTCGGTAGTTTGGAACCGAACGGACCAGGGCTGTGGAGGTCTCAGCGGTGTTCGCCTACTCGAGTGTCCGATTTTAGTTCCAGACACTCGACGGCTAAACACCGCTGTTCGGGAGTTTTAAAATGGCCGCCGCCACGTGTTCGTTTGTCGAATGGCGGCCACCCCCGAGAACAAAGGACGGCTACTTACTGTTCAATTACCCGTTCGCAACAATGTTGCAACGGGTAATTGAGGACACACTTCACACAGGGGAGGTCTGGTTGTTCGGTAGTTTCATTCGAATAAACTAAGGGAACGAAACTACCGAACAATCACAAGAATACAAGGCTTTAGAACACATAGGAAACTAACAGATCACACGAATGCATTTATTTCACAGACATTTGCAGGACAGCCCAGTGCCATCCGCTACACTGCTCCCCCTTGCCCACAAGCCGGCATACACAGTCTGATCCAACACGGATCGGCTTGGGGATGTCCGGGGACTCACGGATCATTTTTCCAGGTCAGTTTGTCTCGACAACCCGTTGGCATTCCCATTCTGTTTACCCGGGCGGTACTGAATATTAAAGTCAAAAGGCTGCAGCGCCAAACTCCAGCGCAGCAGCCTGGCATTGTCCCCAGCCACCCGGTTTAGCCAGACCAACGGGTTGTGATCCGTGAGTAACGAAAAAGGCTGTCCATATAGATACGGCTGTAGTTTCTTTAAGGCCCACACCACAGCCAGGCATTCCTTCTCGATGGCGGCGTAGCTTACTTCGCGGGGTAGTAACTTGCGACTGATGTAAGCCACGGGATGTTCTCCGCCATCGGCCCTGACTTGGCTCAGTACTGCCCCCAATCCAAACATAGAAGCGTCTGTGTGAACAAGAAAACGTTTAGTTGGATTGGGAGCTGCCAAGACAGGAGCGTTTATCAGTGCATTTTTCAGATGTTGGAATGCCTGCTCACACTCCGGGGTCCAGGTCACCTGGCGGGGCAAATTCTTCCGAGTAAGGTCAGTGAGAGGTTTGGCGAGGGCGCTATAGTTAGGGACAAACTTCCTGTAATACCCAGCGGTCCCTAGGAAGGCTAACACCTGGGTTTTAGTCCTAGGAGTGGGCC